CCCGCCGCCCGCCGCGCCGCCCCCCGCCCTCGCGCGCCGGCTTTTACCTTCCGGCTTGTTTTCGGCAGCCATTTCCCCTCCGCGCGCCACATCCTCCTCCTCCTCGCGACCGGGACCCCGAGCGCGCGCCTCGTACCGCCGCCGCCGCCGGCCCAGCCACCCCGCCGCCGCCGCGCACCCGCCCTGGCCCCGCCCCACGGCCCACGCACAGCGCCCATTGGGCCGTACGACTGCCACTCATTGCTCCCGCCGCCAATCGCCCCGCACCAGGGGTCTCACTACTCTCCGGGAGGAGCGTCCTGTCCATCCGGCCCATTGGCTGGTCACCACCCGACGGAATGAACAGATTGGTCAAGAATCAACGCCCCCTCCCCACCCACTCCCAGGAAAGCCCGCCTTCCGGACCTAAACAAAGCTAGCCAATGGTCGGGGGCCGAAAGAACTGTCCAATCAGGACGGGGCCGACACGGAATATTTCCTCGAGGCCGAGAATTGGCCTTTTGATTGGCCGTTACTACAGTGTTTCCCAAGCCTTCCAGACCAATCAAAGGGGGTTCCGGGAACTCGGGAGCGGCGAAAGGAAGCCCCGCCCCTGAGCGTGACCGTCATGAGGAAGGCGCGCGCTCATTGGCGCTCTGGGGCTTTTCCCGCGTGCTCCCGGGGCTGAAGGACGTTCCCGGGGAAGCCGCTGCCGCGCGTGCGGTCCCGGTGGCGGTGGGGCCGCGCCGGGATCTCCGGGATCCCGCCTGCCCGCCGGCGGGGAGCGGGCCTGGGGCCTTGGCGCGGAGCTTCGCCGCGCTCCGGAGCCGCTCGGCCGGGGTCCGGGCGTCGCTGCCGGCCGCGCCTCCCGCCAGGCCCTGCCGCGGCCCGCCCGCCCCCGGTGTGCTCCGCTGTTCCTTTTTCCGTCGGCTTAAAATACTGGAACTTTATTTTGGTCACGCTGCCCGTGTGACCGCCGAGCCGATGACTCATAGGCGCCTGTCCCAGGATGAGGTCGCGGAGCGAAACCTCCGCGCGCGGGCCGCGCATCGGGCGAGACGAGTTCGTCCTCCCTCGTGCCCGCCGCCGCCCAGGGCTTCTCCGAAGATAGGGCACGGTGCCCGCTGCGCGCGGGCTGGGCGGACGGGGAAGGGGATCCAGGCCGAGGCCGGCTGCGCCCACGCCTGGGGATCTGCACCCTCCCCGCGCCCGTCTCCCCAGTCCTGCGGGGTGCAGGTGCCTCGCTCACGAGGCAGTGCCCCCACCCAGAAATTCCGGAATTTGCACAGGGGCAACTAATCTCGAACAAAGGAGAAGGCTGAAATCTCAAAGTTTTCTGGTTTTTTTAAAGAAGAAAAGTTGGAATGAAAAGCAGAGCTCCGACCGTCTCTGATCTTGTATGGTTTGCAGTGAGAACGTTTCATTCCTCTACAGTTTGGTTTTTTTGTGGGATTTTTTTGTTTTGGTTTGGTTTGCTACTATTAGCGACAAGCAGAGAACCAGTGAAAAAGTCGTTAAGTGTCTTCGCATTAAGATTGACTGTCAAAGTGGATTTTGTGCCAATCCTAACAACATGTGTTCTTTTTTCTGGTCTTCGCCAGGGAGAACTTCCTAGGTTTCCCAGAAATAAAGGTGTCCCCAAAGAATGTTTTGTATTGTACACTCGTTCTTCAACAAACTTTAACTTTATGAGCCTCAAAAAAATGCCAAATTTTAACAACTAGGGTACAATATTTTATTGATTAGCATTCTTAATGGCACCTGGGTTGACGATTTGTGTGCTGAAACATTCTTGAAAGTGTTGGTGGCATTGTAAATTAGTATAGCCCTTTTGAAAAGCAATTTTACAGTATGTATTAAAAGCTATAAAAATGTCTGCATCTTTTGACCCAGTAATCTTAATTCTGGGAATCTATTCTAAGGAAATAGCACTAAATGTCAAAAAAGCTAGATGTGTGAAGATATTCTTCACAGGACTGTACTTATTACAAGAAGAAATTGGAAGCATTCAAATGTGCAATATTGGGTATTTAGTAATTGTGTTATATCTACACAGTAGAACATGATGCTGCTGTTTGACGTTAGAAAGAGAAAAGCTTACCCACTTCCAGGAGTAGGGGTGGGGTTCAGAATCACGGTGTTCATTTGTAAAACACAATCTAATGATAACTGTACAAAACTGCATATATGTGTATGTTCTATTCACTAGTAGATAGCCATAATAGAGCTATGTTGCTTTTATAACTAAAAGAAAGATTAAATTAAAAAATGTTAAGCCAGGTACGGTGACATGCGGGAGCCTGAAGCAGGAGGATCCCTTCAGTCTACCAGGTTAGCAAAGGTCAACAGCAGGGCAACACGGGAAGGAAGGAAGTGAGGAATGTCATCCGGGCCTTTGGAGACTCACTGTCACCACTGAAATGACCAATATCACAGTTCTCAAAATGGGTACCAGGGACTCCCAAGTTCATTCAGTATATCCACAAGATCAAAAGTATTTTCAAAAAAAGCTATCATCTCTCAGAGAGCTCATCCCCCAAAAAACCAGTCTCTTCTCTAGCAGAGGCTACATAATGTAATCTCACAAGACAGAATGCAGAAGCAGGAGCATCCAGCGGTCTTAAAAGTTGGATTTTAAGGGAAATTTGCAAAACTATAAAAATAATTCTTACTGCTAATGTTTTGGAAAATTCAGCCATTCCTTGTTTTTAAAAATATGATTTATGTTAATCTGTAATAGGTTTATTATTCTTTCTAAATGAACTTAGTGGCTGTTTTTTAAATTTTTGTTTTAATTTCAAATACAGTACCTAACTCTTGATTAACACACTCACATAAACCAGAGCTCTTTGGTGTCTTCAATAACAGTGTGTAAAACAAGCCTGAAAAAAAAAAAAGCTGGAGACTCCCTGGACCAGAGAATGGGATGTTGGGTGAGAGAGCTGGGTGGTTTCCAGTTTGCTTAGGAAGGTAGCTGAGAGATGGGCTTTTGAAGTGAAGGAAGTGGCCTGCGGCAAAGTTCCATTAGAAAAGGGAGTTCTTAGAAGGTGTGCATCAGCGCACTGCTCCAAATCTTTGCCAGTTTGGGCCCCCGAAGTTCTCCAAGCAATGTGTGTTACCATCCAGAAGCAGGACCTGTAAGGTAAACAAAGGCAATATTAAATCAGTAGCTTTCTTAATCTCAAAAATAACATGTAGAAGACCCTTCTGTCCCAAGCAGCTTTCAGAAATAAAGTGACTATTACTACTGGTGAAGAGAATAATAAAAGCGCTTGGGCTGGAAGTAACTGGAGCTTTCCTGTGGACTAGAGAGGAAGGCTCAGCGGGGCCCAAGTGCAAAGCTTAAATGCTCCTAAAGGGAGCAAGAGAAGTGCATGATACCACATCCTGTTCACTGGGCACAGGACAAGCAAGAAAGAATGTGTTCTAGCTGTGTCTTCCCTAGGGGCTGAACGACTAAACGTGGTATCTAAGGGTTCTGTTTCCAGATGTTTTCTCCTCTTTCTTTGCTTTATTTAAATTTTTATTTCTGAGCTATTGTAAATTTGCATGCAGTTGTAAGAGAGCCAGGCACGGTGGTGCACGCCTGTGATTCCAGCACTTGGAAGGCTGAGGTAGGAGGATCATCATGAGTTTGAGGCCAGCCTGGGCTATAGCGAGACCCTGTCTCAAAACATGAAAATAATTTTTAAAAATGAAAATAATAGGGCCGGGGATTTAGCTCAGTGGTTTCACCACCTGCTGCACAAACACAAGGTTCTGAGTTTGATCCCCAGTACCAAAAAAAATTGAAAATAATAGTAATGATGCTAATGACAACAATGACGGTGATGATGCAGAGACATCCCACAGCCCCTTACCTCTTATGACAAAACATAAAACCTGTGGGCTTCATTAGAACCAAGCTTTCCCCACACCGTCCTTGCATTCCCACCCTGCAAACCATCACTTTCACTCTTCTGTGCACCCACCTGCCTCCATTTATCAATGAGGTCAGGCGTCACTACCTTGGATTTCCTGCTGTTAGGGTGCAAAAGTAGAGATCTGTCAGGTACTACAAATAGAGTGAGGTATTGGGGCCTAGAAAGCCTGAATTCCAGCTCCCCTAAAACATAATTTGAAGATAGAAAGTCCTGATTTGTGGACCAGGCATCAGTTGAAATTTTGAAATGAATCCGTACTTCACCCTTTCAATATTTCCTGAAAGGTAGCCAAGTCCAAAAGGACAGCAGGACTGAGGACCAGACTTTTAGCAATTAAAACCTAGAACAGAATGTTACCCTTCGTCATCAGAGTTGCAGGAGAGGTTGTTTAAACAATAGCTATAATCATAAAACTTTTCCACATTGCCCAGCGATTGCATAAAACATGGCTGAGCACACTGGCTCTCTGGGGGCCTCCTTGGAATTAGATCTAAATGCCTTTGATGGAATGTATCTCACCTTCATATGCGACTTCAGAATCATCCTGTTCTTTCTGGACTTCCCTTTAACACCAGAGGCTTTCTGCTCCCTCCTGAACCTTCTGGTATTACAGCCTGGTAGTTTTAATTGTTTATTCAGACCTGGAGTCAAAGAAATGGCTTCTTCTCTAAACAGGGAATAGGCTAAAGAGATGAGGCTTTGGTGGTTCAGAGGGGCACAAGTCCAAAGAGCTTCATGACTTTCAAATTTAACAGTTCAGGGCCAGGAATTTAGCTCAGTGGTTTCACCGCCTGCTGCACAAGTGCAAGGACCCGAGTTCGATCCCCAGTACCAAAACAAACAAACAAACATACAAAGTTAACGGTTCTAAGAGCCCAGAATCACACCTCTGTTTGGAGACACAGATGTTGGGGGAACCCCTGGGGTGCGGAGGGGCAGCAGTCTCATTGCAGGGGCCAAGGGCCCTTAGCAACTGCACAGCAATCTCTGCTTGTCTCTCGATTTGGGGTGGTGGCTCTGGGCAGCCAATGGAGATGACAGGTTTATGTCCGTTCTCAGTTTCTCTGGGAAACTTTGTTCAGTTGTTGAAAGGAAAATGATCTTTAAAAATACTTGAAATAAAAGCTGTTGATAAACTAGTGCTACCGTGCTGGGTGGCCACTGAGGAGCATCCGAGAAACATCAGACCGCTCCCCTGTACGGGAGTAAATTAAAAGGTGTGGGCACAGAGGCTCTTCCTTGTCATTAGCCTTTCCATTTTCAACCAAGGCAAGCAACTTGTTTTTCTTTAAGTATTAAGCTGTGGGGTATTAAGAATCCACTTTCAGGCCAGGGATTTAGAGCAGCGGTTTCACCACCTGCTGCACAAGCGCAAGGAAATGAGTTCGATCCCCGGTACCAAAACAAAAAAAAAAGAATCCACTTTCAAAACGCTGGTAAAACAGTGTGTACTCCCATGGATCTCCAACTTAACTGTTTAATGGGGAAAAAAACAAGGCACAAAGCATGAAGTACAATGCTTATACTAACGAGGTAACACACAGTTACCTTTGAAGAGAAAGGGGGGATGAGGCTTCCTTGGCATTTTATCCGGTTAAAATTTATTTAGTGTGTGCATCATTCAGCATACATTTATTGGGTGCTTATGACAAAGCAGAGGCTGATTCTAGGTCTGGCAATACAGCCCTGAACAAAAGAGATAAAAGTTCTTTACCAAGGAGCTAATAAAAGTGGAAAGACAGACGATAAACACACAAAGATATGATTGAAGGCAAAGATTGAAGGATAATGATGAATGCTTTTAAAAAGAAAGTGGGAGAATGAGAGAATGGTGGGTCAGGGAAATTCTGGCTGGGTCCTGAAGGAAGTGAGGTTGAGCAGTTATGGGTGGGGTAGACAGTGTTCGGGCAGAGGAGAGACAAGTTCAAAAGACCCGAGACAGATGCACAGTTGGTGTGCTCTTGGAGCCACACGAGGCCCTGTGGAAAGGCTGCTGGGACACGAATCCAGGGAAGAACCTAAGGCCGGACACAGAGCAACTCACATTCCACGGTGAAATCTTTTGATTTTATGCTAGGGATGTTGCACTACAAAGCCCGAAGCACATATTGAGCTGAGAGTATTATGAGTGTTTTTAAAGGATCCTGGAGAATTTACCTCGTGTGCGCAAGAGAGGAAGCAGACAGACTAGTTAGGAGATTGTTGTAGACATCAAGATAGGATGGGGCCTTAGACAAGGGGTATTTGTTTTCCATAGCTGGTGTTCGCTGACACAAACTGCCTTAGTGCCCTCCAACAAAGGAAAGGCAGCCCCTTACAGTTCTGGAGCCTGGAGGTCCAAATCAGTTTCCCTGAGCTAAAACGCAGATGTTGTTGGCAGGGCTAGATGTCCTCCGGGGGCTCTGGCCTCTAGCCTTCCCTGGGCTCTCCCAACTTCTTGTGCCTTACAGTTTTCACATCGCTGTCTGTTCCATCTGACTGTGGCCCTCTCGTGCCATTTGCAGGAAAACGGAAGGAACAGAAGAGAATCATATTAAGCAAAATAAGCCAGACTGAGAAAGACAAATATTGCATGTTTCCCCTAATATGTGGACCTAGGGGGGAAAGATGACATGGAAGTAAAAGGTAAATTGCTAGACAACAAAAGGGGGACTGAGGCAAGGGGAGAGGCTAAAGGAGGTAGTATGGGAGATAGGGAAAAAAGTTAACACGCCTGCTAGAGTATGTTCAAAGTTACTGTGAAAGACATAAAAGCTACTTTTAAAAACACAAATATATCGCTACACCAACACAGACAAATGAATGCCCATAAGACTGATGAAATTTAGCCAGGCGTGGTGGCATGCACCTGTAATCCCAGCACCCTGGGAGGCTGAGGCAGGAGAACCAAAAGTTCAAGCATATCCTGGGCAACTTAGTAGCTTAGTGAGACCCTGGCTCAAAAACTTTACAAAAAAGAAACTAGAAAGGACTGGGGTTATAGCTCAGTATGAAGACCCTGGGTTCAATGCCCAATACAGAAAACAAACAAAACAAAAACACACCTGGTGAAATTTGAAAAGATTAGTGTCAACTTCCTATTTATGATATTATACTAAATGCTACTATTAGAGTAAACTGAGTGCATTAAATCATCCTGTATTATCTTCCCAAGTGCATATAAACCTAGAGTTATGTCAAAATAAAAACTTAATTAGGGCGGGGGATTTAGCTCAGTGGCACCAAGCCTGCCTCCCAAGTGCAAGGTCCTGAGTTCAATCCCCGGTACCAAAAAAAAACTTAATTAACATAAAAGTCTCGATTCGATCCCCGGTACCAAAAAAAAAAGTCTCGGGCCGGGGATTTACCTTAGTGGTTCTGGCACCTGCCTTGCAAGCGCAAGATCCCGAGTTTGATCTCTGGTATGAAAAACAAAAAAATCTCTTTGCCTCCTTTATAGGAACCCATGGTGGCATTTAGGGCCCACCTAGGTCACCCCAGGTAAACTCCTCATCCCAAGATACTTAACTTAACCACATCTGCAAAAAAAGGCAATGTTTACAAGTTCCACTCAGAATCAGGACTGGCTATCTTTGGGAGCCATTATTCACCCAGAAACACCAGAAATCAGTGAAATTTTCCAGGAAGGACCAGAGTAAAGATTTTAAGCTTTTCAGACCCTACAGTCTCTGTCACAACCACTCAGCTCTGCTACGCAGCACAAAAGCAATCACGGACGATGTGTACACAAATGTTCATGCCTACCTTCCAATATAGCTTCATTTATAAAAACAGCTGGTGAGTGTTACACTTGATCTTAGCCAAAAGGCCGAGAAGCGATAGCTGGTGGGTTGTTAGATCAAGAGGGTGGTCTTACAGATAGGGGGATTTAGCATATATACATTGTTTGTTTGTTTGGTACCGGGGATCAAACTTGGGTCCTTGCACTTATGAGGCAGGCTGCGGAACCACTGAGCTAAATCCCCAGCTCAAGCATATATACACTGAAGGTAGATTACCCAGGTTTTGCTAACAGATTGAATGTGAGGTATAAGAGAAAATAATGCTTTGGGCCACAGTTTGACTCTTGGGATTTTGGCCCAAGCAATTGGGTTGTTGGTGTTGCATTTAAAGACACAACCCCCCCCCAGGAAGGGCCGGGGATTTAGCTCAGTGGTTTCGCCGCCTGCTGTGCAAGTGCAAGGACCAGAGTTCAATCCCTGGTACCAAAAAACAACAACAACAACAACAACTAGGAGAAGCAGGTGTAGTTGAGAGTGGGAATCTAGAATTTAATTTGGAATTCTAAAATGTCTATTAGCTATCCAAGTGGAAATATGAAAAAGACAGCTGAATATATGCATCTGAAACAATGAGAGGTTGTGGGTAGAGATACAAATTTGGAAGTAATCAGCATTTGATGGTACTAAAACCATGGGGGCTAGCTACACTACAAGAGGGAGTGTAATTCACTTTTACTCCACAGTAATTTCCATAGAGATAAAAATCAGGACTCTCCTACAAATATAAAATGATGCTGTGTCAAGAGTTTTTCTTCAGGCCGGGGACTTAGCTCAGTGGTTCCACAGCCTGCCCCGCAAGCGCAAGGTCCCGAGTTCGATCCCTGGTACCAAAAAAAAAAGAGTTTTGCTTCGGCTCTTTAATTAATGAGGGAGCCTGTAAGATGTTGAAGCCAATTCAAACTGGAAGAACAGAGGTATATTTATAGGAAAGCAAGAATGCTTGTTAAGATGCAAAACTGGTTAATAAAAATGGGGCAATAAAATGTCATGTTTGGAGTTCTTCTCTTTTTTTTTTTTTTTTTGGTACCGGGGATCGAACTTGGGACCTTGCGCTTTTGAGGCAGGCACTGGAACCACTGAGCTAAATCCCCAGCCCTGGAGTTCTTTTCTATAGGGCAAAAATCAGTTGCATCCCTGGGCAAGCGTCACCTGCATTACTGTCCATTTTCTATTCCTAGCTCGACTGTAGAAAGGCAGTTAAGGGCATTCGCCCTGACAGGACCAGGCACGTCATCCACCGGGCACACTGATCTCTGCTCATTCCCAGGTCTCAGCCCGTTTCTCCTGACTTTCAACATCAGTTGAGCACCTGCCAAGAGATTGGTACAGTACTGTGCTATTAAAGTACATCACTGAACAAAAGCCAGATCCCTGCCCTCAAGATGCCCACCTCCCAGGGGCAGGGAGGGGACACAAGAAACCCAGTACATAGACATCCTACAGTATGTGAGCAGGCAATGAGTGGAAAAACTAAAAGTAAAACAGGTGTAAGGGACCAGGAGGGCTAGTGCTGGGGAGGTGTGATTTTTAAATAGCCAAGGTCAGTGTTGCCCACTAAGAAAGTGACGTGTTACACTGTGTATACAGTGTATCAAACATCACATGGTTCCCAGTAAGTACTACAACTCTTATGTGTCCACTACTTTTTTTCATTAAGAAAAAAGAAATTGACATTTGAGCCAACACTCCAAGGAGTTGAAAGAGTCAGTCATGTGGATATCGGAGAGAAGATTGTTTAAAATACAGAAGGATGGGGGCCGGGGATTTAGCTCAGTGGTTTCACTGCCTGCTGTGCAAGTGCAAGGACCCAAGTTCAATCCCCAGTAGCAAAAAATAAATAAATAAATAAATAAATAAATAAATAAAATACAGAAGGAGTTCAGAATTTTTTGCGGGGGGGAAGGGTACCGGGGATCAAACTCGGGTCCTTGCACTTGCACAGCAGGTGGTGAAACCACTGAGCTAAATCCCTGGCCTGAGTTCAGAATTTTTAAAGGTTAATTTTTTAATTGGTAAAGAAAAAAATAAGCAAAAGAAAAAATCTGAGTCACATGTTGAATGAAAACAGTTTGTTTTCCTGCTGTGATATGTTCTTTCAAGTCCTAAGCATACCGTGATGCCATGGATATGAGATAAAAGAAATCAGAAGCGTTAGTTTAACAATACTGATCTTTCTAGCCTTTCAGAATGAAAGTTGGCTCTCCTTTTTTTATTAGAGGAGACACCCATCTGCCTCACTATTCCACCCACAAAGAGTCAGACTGCATGTGTGACAATGCTTAAAGGAAAAATTAAAATTTTAGTAGTAAATAGCAATTCAAAAATAGGTTTCTTGAAAGAGAATTTTGTTAATGAAAGCACTGCTCGGGAGTAGACCTGGGAGTCCTGCTCTGGATTTCTAAAACTCTGCCGTAGTAAATGGATGAAAATGAAGTTTTGTTTCTCTGCTCTTTATTTGGGAGGGAAAGGAGGCTGGGATTATTTCCATTTTAATTCAAACTGTGTACAGCACAGCGTTAAGACTTGTGCAAAGATTTTTCAAAGCACAATTTTTTTCCAGTGACAAAAGATTTCTTTCTTTTTCATCTTGTCAAATATAGTCACTCACAGACAAAGTCAATTTGCTCTTTTGCCTTCATGTTGTGCTATTTCCTTTTGCCAGCTGACTAACGTTTTCTAGGGCAGGTTGGAATTAATCATTCAACTCCCTGAGATTTTTCAGGCCAACCAGGGCCAAGGATAAAAACAATACGATCCACAGCTTGCCCTTTAACAAAAGACTTCACCCTTGACAAGGAGATGATCACACGTAGACCACGTTAGGAAGAACGATTTAGGGAATTTCACCAATCTTGATTCTGCAGATCCAGAAAAACATGTTTATTTGTCCCCCTAACTACACCCTAACTGTATTCCAGAAGTAGTGTCTGTTTCCCCAAGACAAGTCACCGTCCAATCTGAGCATAATTCCTGGTCTAATCGACCTCCTGACCCTCTCGGGCCTTGGTGGGCCTGGCTGCTGTCCTTGCTGCCCAAGCTGTCCTCACCCTTGAAGCTCAGCTCCAAACCCCGAGCGTCAGTTCTCCACCCAGCATCTTTGAGTAACCTGATGCCCTGTTCTTTCCACCAGGGTGGCATCTTAATTGGCCACTTCTGCAGAGCTGAGCTCAGGCTGCCTGCGCTCCCAAAAAAAGCCACTTAACCTTCTCACATCAAGGGGTTCAAGACCCAAAGGCTGAACATGGTCCGTGGCACACACCCCGAAGCAGTAGGCTGGGACCACCAGCACGGTGTGGCGGGCCAGCCAGGGTGCCAGAATAAAGGTCAAGGGATATTTGCCGCTGAGAGGCTCCAGAAATAATGTAAAATTGTTCTGTCCTTTTAAAAATGGAAAATGCCTTGGCAGGGTGATATATTATTTGCCTGGCTGCATTTTCTCTGTGTCTCCGTCAAGGCTTGAAAAGTACTGGCACTTCTGCCTTTTCAAGCGGAGCTCAGTGTAACTGGACCACATCTAATGCCTGTACGATGCAAATGAAGATTGAAACTGTTGTTTCCTTTGATGTGTGTGACTAAATGCTCAAAGGGGATATTTTCTTTTCGATCCTCCAGTGGATACAGCCTCTTTAAAAATACCTGTTGGCTCCCTCTTCCTATTGGCAATTGAAGTCATTCCTTCACTGGAGACAGAGGGGGAAGGTGGTGGTGATGAACGACTTTCCCCGAGAAGAATACCTTTTCCGTGTTTGTGATGATGGTTAAAGTTCTGGGGGGAATTAAGGAGCATGAAAGGCACGGTAATGATGGGTATCTGCAATGAGCTACCCAGGCTTGCCTGAGACAGTGCAGGGAGCCAGGGGGAGGAAGAGTCCTGGCAGGAACTCACACGGCACACCCAGGGGCATCGAGGGGCTGTAGGAGAGAGCAGTGGGCCAGGTAACAGCGCTGGCCACGCAGTCTCGGCCCCAGTCCCTTCCGCCCAGGGAGGAAACGATGCTAAGGGAGCTGGGAGCGCCGAGCTCCTCTCTGAGCCGTTGCTCTCTGCAAACAGACACGCAGGAAATCAATAGTTCTGAGCGCCTCAGAGCTGCGAGCTCCAAATTGGCTGTGCTGGGACCATGGTCAGAAGGAGGGGAGGCGTGGCTGGAATCCACCTCAGTGACTTCCTGGATGTTGGCACTAAACGAGGCAGTCTGCATGAGAAGCTACACTTAAAAGCAGGAGAGAGAGACAGATGAGAGAGAGGAGAGGAGAAAATTAACATTTGGAATGATTTATAAATCCTGATGTGGGCCATTGATTTATTTTTAACATACCTCCTTTAATCCTGGTGAATGGTGAATGTTTGCAGTGTCTCACTCTGGGAGGACACAGGGGAGCCGGTCACCTCTGGGACATTAGACAGTAGCTCTGGGAGGGCAGGGACTTAGTCATGCTGTGTGTCTGCACCTAGATGAGACAGACATTCAACGAGTGCCAGGACGGACGAATGGACGGACGGATGGATGGACGGATGGACAGACAGAGGGATGGATGCCCAAGGCGGCCCTGTTCTAAGGAACCAGCTATCTGTAGGCTAAGAAATTCACTTAGAAGAGAATTAAAGCCGGCTGTCAGATAGATGCTGAATCTGTTTGCGCCAGCTGCCATAACAAAATATCACAGAGCAGCTTCCACATCAGGGATTTATTTTTTCTCAGTCCACAAGCCTGGAAGCCCAAGAGCAAGCAGTCAGCACATTTAGTTTCTCCCAAGAGCGCTCTCCTGGGCTGGCAGATGACGACGTTCTCCATCCTGCTGTGGTCTTTCCTCTGGGTGCGCATCCCTGGCATCGCTTCCTCCTCTTAAGAGGACACCATGGGGAAGGATTAGAGTGACCGGGACAGTCGCATTTCAACCATGTAATCACCATTCAAAGTGCCATTTCCAGGGACAGCACATTCAGAGATACTGGACACAGGGCCTGAGCATATGAATTTCAGGGACAGAATTCATTCAGCACATCGCAGAGATGGACTTACACTAAAATTTAGTATTTTGGTGCGTTTTAAACAAAATAGCAGCAGGGCACACCTGTGATACCACACTCTGGAAGGCTGATGCAGGAGGATTATAAGTTTGAGCCCAGCCTGGGCAACTTAGTGACTTGGCCAGGTGCTGTCTTGAAATTTTTTTTTCTTTTTGGTACCGGGGATCGAACTCGGGTCCTTGTGCTTACACAGCAGGTGGCGAAACCACTGAACTAAATACCCGGCCCTCGAAATTTTTTAAAAGGCCTTGAGTTCAAGCCCCTGCTACCCCTCAAAGATCCCATTTCCTGCCATGCCAGTGAGTGCTACGTTTTCAGATCTTTCATCCCACACTGTCCAAAGGTGCAGCATGAGTACCCGCTGCACGTAAACCCGGCTGCAGTTCGTGTCTTGGTCGGGGTTTCTGTCTTTTGGGCTTGTGCAGGTGGCCGGGCATACCCGAGTCTGCACACCCAGAGGCAGGGGACAGGTCCTCAGGACAGAGCGGGGTGCCCGGCCACCTGCCCACTGCACCGCACAATCTGCATCGCCCGGGCAGGCCACTCGATGTCGCTGAGCACCAGCCCCTCCATCTTCAGGGGGGCCAACAACTCCGGCCTTGCCTTTCTCCCAGCATCACTGGGGTAACTCACAAAGCGGTCCGTGTGTCCACCTTTTGTGCCCCCATCCTTGCACTTGTGAGGCAGGTGCAGTGCCACTGAGCTAATTCCTGGCCCTATCCACCTTTTGTTTTAAGATTTCTTTCTTTCTTTCTTTCTCTCTTTCTTTTTAGACAAGTTCTCACTATATAGTTCAGGCTGGCCTTGAACTCACTGTGTAGCCCAGGCTGGCCTCAAACTCCCAGCAGTCCTCCTGCCTCAGCCTCCCGAGTGCTGGGATCATAGGTGTATACCACTATGCCAGGCCTCCCCTTTCTAAATGGGGGTGCATGTGTCTGCAGAGGAGGTAGCCTCAGGATAAACAAGGCACATCTGCTTAGAGTGTCTGTTCTAAAATAGGATTTTACAACCGCAAGGACCCGAGTTCGATCCCGGGTACCAAATAAATAAACAAATAAAATACGATTTTGCAGTAAAATCTGCAGAAGTACATTAGGAATCAGAATGGGGAGTTGGGATAACACGCAGTTAAGACAGATCTCACGTAAATGACATCCTCACCACAGCCTCGGTGCTCTGCCCTCCCAAGCACTTGGATGAAAAAGCCCAAGCAGTGCTGGTTATGTACTTGAAGATGCATGAAGCTGCTCACTGGACTGACGCGGAACAACTGTCAAGACACGCGCAAAGTGAAGAAACCCAGTTGTAGAGCAAGGTCCTCTCAAAAAAAAAAAAAAAAGCCAGGTGAGGGGACCCACATCTGTAATTCCAGCACTCTGGGGCCTGAGGCAGGAGGACCGCAAGTTCAAAGCCAGCCTGGGCAATTTCATAACTCAGTGAGGCCCTGTCCCAAAGTTAAAGAAAAAACAGGGGGACCCAGAGACAGGGACAGGGAAGTGCGAGGATGCAAACTCCCCACATTACTAGATTAGAATTTTAACTTTTTTTTTTTTTGGTACCAGGGATCAAACTTTGGACCTTGCACCTGTAAGGCAGGACACCGAACCACTGAGCTAACTCCCCAGCCCTGAGGCCATACTCTTAAGTGAAATAAATAGGACCCACATAAAATGTATTGTTTTGTTGTTGGTTTTGTTTTTG